GTGGGCTACAGGGATCAGGGCACGGGCCAACCGAGGCTGCATCATCTATGGAGACGCGCTCAGGTGCGCCATGGGGGTGCACAAAGTTATACTCGACTCTTCCTCGCGATAATGGCGAGTGCAAACGATACTCCCATGACAGACCGGCTGGCGAAACCGTTAGACCCAAACGACTATTCTGATCTGCTCCAAACGCCACACAGCGACGCGTTCGCGTTCTCAGAAATAGAGCAACTCGCGCTGCAGCTGTACGATCAGCTGCGGGAGCTTGAGTTAGAAAAGAGCCTCATTGAGGCGCAAACCGAAGGCACGTCACAATCACTACCATGGTCAATGTGACCGTGTCGCGATCTGACGTGTTTGCAGCACATGTGCCGGACGTCTCCGCACTATCAGATGATGTCTTACAAGAGCAGCTGATCATAGCACAGCGCGAGGCTATGGAGGCGAGGACAAAGTTTGAAATCCGAAACAGGATATCTCATAACGTCTTAGTCATGGATCCTGTCCTCAAAGCTGTTCATGGCAATCAGCAACATACGGACTATGCGGAGAAGTATGTTGGTTCAAGCCAGGCTGCTCAACCCATGCTAACAATTTTTGAGGCGAATGCTACCCTTAATCAGCGAAAACGATGCTGTGTCGATGGTGCATGGCTTGCTAGCCTCAAAACTGGCGTCGGCAACACGTGCCTTGAGTACTGCCGAGCAGGGCAATATTGCTGCCAACAGAGAGAACCGCCAACTATCCGAGGGCGTCTTAAGGTTGGCTGAAGAAGTGAAAGTGCAGTCTATCGAAGACATCCAAGATCCCCAGCTCCGGGACAAAGTTGAGAGTGCCGAGAAGAATGTCAAAGAGTCACGTACGCGAATGAGGATACTAAAAGGCATTCTATCTGCAATGATCGTGGGCAGCGGTATCAATTGGGCAGCGGATGAGGAGTTGCGCGATCTCGTCATGGATGATGAAGACGGATGAGCTATCTTGATCCGCAGTCGAACTGCGCGCAAGTAGAATGGACCTTCGCCTTGTTGTCAATGGACATTCCTTCTATGCCCGAGGGAAGCAAGACAAATTAGAGTGATAGCTCAAGAGACACAACTGTCGACTGGCACAAGCAGCATTTAGAGGTGTTTATTCACCTCGTCGGACGCAACATGCCCGCAGTGGTCAGGTATTTGATTGGATTCGTGGATTTTCTACATTCGACTACACTGAGTCTTTAGTCTCTCTCCTGCGACACAATCTCGATCAATGCGCCTAGGAGCCTAGAAGTACTACCCATTCTCGCTCATTCCACGGCGACATGGCTATGTGTATGGCGTTGGTGGGCGGCTCGAGGACATGATGGCACGAAAAGACGGTTACATTACATAGCTATAGTTGTCGGTATATGCAATATGACATAATGTTTGACGTGAGATTGCGTGAAAATACTCTCCCTCCTGTGTCAGTGCGAGTACAAACGGGCTCACTAAATATATGCGACGCAGATAGCATGTCACCAGTCGAAGCAGTTGGCAGCTGAAACTGCCAAAGAGGCCGGGCACGAAACAGCGCCCTGCACTGAAGACGGTATAGCTGCCAAATGAGGCGCCTGGAAGGTGAGTGTTGCGCGCTGAAGCGTGGTAGAGTGATGTCTCGAAGAATGTCGGGCTGATGTCTCTTGTAAATGACCCTGGATCCATTAGTAATCTCATGTGTTTGGTGCAAGCCGAAGTTTCGGGTCACCCATGGCTGCAACGTGCCACTACACGTTGAAGACATTTTGGCAGATTGTCTGTCGGCTCTTCTGGGGGCCGCATTGCAGCGTCGGGCAGGAGACGCGTATGTGCCATGGCTGTGCTCTGGTAGTGTCTCGTGCAAAGCCCGAACGCTATTCAACTCTGCCGATTTCATCAGTTTTACGGAGTACAGGAAGCAGAAACATAAGCACTGTATTTAAGGGTTACTGAGGGCTGCGAGGAGGGCGGGCAATTCCAAGGATGTACGCGCAAAGGTGTTTCGCTGCCCCTAAGCCATGGCACGCGGCGCACCTAACTAGCCAGAAATGCGACAAGACGCAGGTAGAACCGGACGATGCGTATTGCGCAACACCGTGTTATTATTCGCCCTGAATATCTGTGCAAGAAAGCGCTCGCTGGGCTGAAAGTAGGTGTAGGTTACCGCATGTGGCTTAGTGGGGGCAGGCGAATGCGGCGCCGGACTCGAGCTTGACAGTGTCGTTGCTGTATCGTACCGTTGGTGCAGCTTGCGGCATGACAACTGGGCAATGTGATGCTTGTTTGGTCGCGGCGGGCTGCAAAGGGGGTGTGAGCGGCCTTAGCCAGCGCCATCTGCCGAGGCGCGTCTCGATCCGATCGTTCGAGCGTGCCCTCAGACCTGCGGAGTGCATGGGAGCGGAGGGAGATACCGCGTCGCCTCTGGACCTGGGGCCGCCTCTGTCCAGCCAGCCGTGTCGGTAACGCAGCGACGAGTTGGAGCGTCAATTTCGCGCACGGCGAATAACGTTGCTTTCTGGACTTGCCTGCATGAAACCAGGCACGACCAGGCACCGCCGTCGCCGGGCCAGTCGAGGAATGGAGGCGCTCCCGACGCCCGACCGCTGCCGGGAACAGCGCGCGCGCAGAGAGGCGCAGAGAGGGGAGCAGCGCAGACAGGCGAAAGGGGGGGTGGGAGGATGTCAGGTATAGGGATATGAGTGTGTGAATATGAATGCGAGTGTACAGGTGAGAGAGTGCATGCTTTCTAGAGAGAGGCTGCGACGGGCGGGCCTGCCGCAGCGGTGTGAGTCGCGCCTGCCTTTGTCCAAGTTGGTGAGGGGTGCTCTGTTATGATGAGGGCTCCTAGCGGCGCAGGGGTCCGTGCCCGCTGGGGCTTTGGGTAGTAAAGGCCGCGCTGCTTTGCCTGCGAAGCTCTCACAGAGCGTCTCCCACTCCCTCTCATACAGTCGTCCCTCAACTGCTTTTCGCCCACCAACGCCTTAGGTGAGTCTCGCGTATCCCCATCACGCATCATACAGCACCAGCACAACGCGCGCAACACAACTGCACTTTTTTCACGCGTTTTCACGCGACAATGACGCCTGCAGTATCTTCCATTGCATCTTCAGAGCGTCATCGCGTTCCATTTTCCTGATCATCGCCGTCGCCGTGGCCCACGGCGCATCCTGTACTGACGCACCATAGACATCTGTCACTGGCGATTTCTTTCACATTTCCAACGACATCTGTGAGTACACCATTTGTCTTCTATTGTTCTTGCGCATCTCCGCGACGCTTCGTCGTGGTTTGCGACCGGGGCGCTTCACGCGCCCGCAAAGAGGGCGGTCCGCCTAGTCACCACGCATCGCATCACCTGTTCATGAACACCAACACCCATTCTGATATTGCCTTGCACCGCGCAATCCGCAATTCAATTACCGCCGCTCTCTACTCTATCTCTGCACCCCACTTCCACCTCAGCCTTGCCTCCACCGAACCCACTTCTGACCTTCCACTGCAGCAGCTTGAATAGCTACCTACATCAACATGCCTAAGGAGAAGTCTACCCGTGGCAAGGGCAAGGCCGCCAAGGCCGATTCCGGCAAGAAGAAGAAGGGTAAGTCTCACGTGCTTTGCAAACATGCGCTCTAGCTCTAACAGCAGCAGACCCCAACGCACCCAAGCGTGGTCTTTCCGCCTACATGTTCTTCGCGAACGACCAGCGCGACAAGGTCCGAGAGGAGAACCCTGGCATCAAGTTCGGTACGTCAAGATTTGTCTCTCCATGCCAGTGCATCTCTAACTTTTCTCAGGCGAGGTCGGCAAGATGCTCGGTGAGAAGTGGAAGACTCTCTCTGAGAAGCAGCGCCAACCGTATGAGGCCAAGGCTGCCGCTGACAAGAAGCGGTACGAGCAGGAGAAGGAGGCTTATGCCGTAAGTCCGATCGTTAAGCTACCCTCCTACATAGCGACTAAACAAGCACAGAACGCTGCCGAAGAGGAAGAGGAAGAGTCTGAGTAGACAGTTCGAGCTCCATTGGTAGTAGAGCCGACCTCTACTCGGAGCTTCGTCCTTTCAGACTATCGGCAGCTACGGCTGCCACAGGCTTAGGATATTGGATCGGGTTTCCATGTTAATCTCATCTATCTGTCTTATTGCGGGATGGGTCCTTCGGGAGAGTTTCACGTCTCAGTGATTTTCAAAACCCCGCAGGAAGCTTTTGCGTGAGGCTTCTTATTGATGTTTAGCGTCCCAGTCAGCCTCTGACGCAAAAGACATCACGGAAGCTCATGATTACCATGTACACTAGTTATCTGCGGAACGAAAATGTGCTGCTAATTGGTCTTTGTTGCTATGTTTGTGCGTGATGTTTTGGTGATGCTTTGGTGATGCATGTTGGGCGTGGCCTGCTAATGGAGCGCATCAGCGTAGAGCTGCTCATGCCTTCGTATTTCGAATCCCAGGTCACTGTGCGAGACGCTGTGCTACCACCAAGCCATTATAAACAAGGCGATCACTCTTACCGAACCAATTCGTCTCATAAGGTATCACTGGCGTTCATCATGCATGGCGACCTTCGTGATCAGATGCTGGGCGTATCTAATATGCATGCATGTAGCTGTCCTTGGTAAAAAGCGCATTCGTACCACAATATCAGAACACTGCAACAACACAATAGACTACCCCCGACGTTTCCATAAACACTCTATACACAGAGTATAGATTAAGTGGCCCATAAAAAAACCAAACACAGCTCCATGTTGTCCATGTCTCATCCAAAAGCGCCACATCATCTCCATCCCCCCTCCCCTCCGCCTACCCCGACCGCCTCATCGGGAACCCGCAGCCAGACAAACGCACACGCCCGCTCTCTACCGCTCTTTCCATCGTACCCCTGCCTCACGCAGGCACGTCGGACTGCCCCCCCTTTTCCGCTCTGAGAGCATGTGTGTCATGCTGTGTACATGTATTTGAGAAGAGGAGTGAGGGCTATCTTCAGACGAGGGTTATTAGAGGCGTCGTTAGTCCAGTGGTTAGGATACTGCCTTCCCAGAGCTGAGAGCTGAGAGGCAGGGGTCATGGGTTCAAATCCCATACGACGCATACCTTTCTTTTTGGAGCTGTGTGTGGGGAGGGGGAAAGGGGGGTTGGTGTTGTTTCTTTTGGGGCTCCATGAGTGGGTTCAGCGGAACTTTTTTAAGAGTCATACAAGTAGTAGATGCTAGCATTTTGGCCGCACTGATATATGCAATCCCAATTGACGAAATGTACGAGAGCTGGACAGACAGGTCGAACTCAGCCATGAAAGAGAACACTTCGGTAGGTGCAGATATTGGCAGCAGTTCTTTTTCCATCTGGATGGCTGGATATCTCTGGATTCTTAGATCACGATAACTGATTATAGACCGGAACGCCATGCTTCTAGTGCTCTACAGAGGCATCTTCTTATAGGGTAACCTGCAACAATCACCCACGCTAACACTCTCGTACCATCAGGCCGGACGCGGGATTGCGAGCGGTCGCACCCTTCCTCTGATGAATGTACTTCGTTGTGTCCTACTCTCAACTGGTATATTTGTGATACCTATTCCCGCTGCAACACCACCATCAACCCCATTATCCCCAGCATGGCCTGTTTCAGCCACGGGTACTCGCTTAGCAAGATCGTAACATATCCAACGAAGGGTACAAAGCCAACGACGCTACCGATTACGTCTTCTTTGCGGTTCAAATGGGTTTGGCCAGCGGCGTAAAGTTCGGTGTCGTCCGCGATGTTATTATCGCCTTTTGTGAGGAGTCGGAGGGGAGATTTCCTATGCGTCAAAAATGTCAGCACAAGCGCTTCTCGAAACATGACTCGCGAGAAGTAGGTGCTCGTGTAGCCCATTCCAAGCTGTCCTTCTCCGGCAGAAGCACGGGTAGGTTTGGCTTACCCTCCACCAAATCTCCGCACCACACGGTGCACAATCGGGATGTCTTTCCCCTTTACATTGTATACAACAATCTCCCCGATCTGTGTGTCCAGCCCCCGATTCCACAGGAACAGCAGGTCTCCTCGCTCGAATGCGGGCTCCATGGATCCTGACAGCACGACGACGATGGGTGAGGGCGAGTCTGATGCGACGGAGAGCCCTTTCCAGAGCATGAAGGCGGTGGAGAGAACGAGCGCGAAGTTCAGCACTTGTGCGGCCAGTTGCCGGGGCTGCATGTTTCCAAGGCCCAGCATCTTTGCGGCGGGGAAGTCGGGTCGTAGGCGGTGGGTAGAGGGTTCGAGGCGCGATTCGCAAGGTCAATGAGGTATGCGTCGCGTGTTCGGGTCTTATGAATCTGGAGGAAGGCTTCCACCGGTGATCATGGAGTCGTGAAAGCAATGGGCGTAACGGTGCTTCGGAGCTGGAGCTTGATGCCAGATGTTCTTGAAATCAGTGATTGGTCGGTGAGCCCTGTTACACCATGACTAAGCTCACTGGTCGCTAACAGCTGCTCGCACGACCTTGACTCCTCCACAACACCAAATGGTTGTAGTTCTGCATAGCCCAGGGCCTGCTGCTCTAAATACCAAATATGGCGTCAATTTTGAAGATGGGAGAAGTGGGGTCGATTTCTCTCACCTACGTCGGCAACCAGCCCTTCCCTTTACTTATGGCTGGACCTTTGGAGTGCGATAGCCGTCCTTTGCTTCTCTTTAAGATAGTCACATTTACAAAGCACCTTCTTAACTACTTGGTCACCATTTATTTACTCACAGTGCTTTGCTCATTCTTGAGGTCTTCCCCTCCGTTCAGGTTTAAGTTGAGGCTGGCTTGCCCGCAAAAGACGCACTTCACTCGTCTACTCTACTGCATCATCTTGTAAGCCTGTTTGCGCTCAGCCCTTCACATCCACTACTGCCCACTTGAAACTGCGACAGCCACGATGCGACCGCCAACTCCGGGCGACTATATCCTTCTGCGACAACCGGACAATCCGCCATGGCCCGCCCTCGTATGCACCGACGATATGGCGCCTCAGGAGGTCGCTGCATGCCGACCAAATGGCTACCTTACACTTGCTCTTCTGATCAAAAGGAAATCGGAATTGTAGGTCTATAGCAAACTGTAACTGCAACTGGTACACTGATTCCAATAGCCGATACATCATGTCGACTGATATGCGGGAATTCGATCCTTTTATCCAACACGAGCACAGCCAGGACGACGAATTACGCTATGCATACGACCAGGTGTTGAACGCAATGGACTTCGTGGGGTCGAGCCTTGATTACTGGAGGCGTGCAATTGAAGATCAACAGAAGTCCAGTCATCTACCCACGCCCACGCCAAGTAACAGTTCCGGATACACAGAGACGGAATCCGATGACGAGTACCTCAAAGAAGCGAAAAGGCTAAGTCTTGCAGAACATAGATCAAGGAACAACACAGAGCTCTCGACATCATCTCCGCCTCCATTGGAAAAGCTAACACACACAACGATCGTCCCCAACCCCTTTTGCGCTCGAGGGCTTGGCGATCTGCCCAATCAATTCCACCCGACAGTTGAGTGCAACTCAGTTAATTCAAGCAAGAGGGTCTCGAAACGCCCTCATATCGAGGATAGTGATATCGTTGAGGGAGACATGTACGTAGACCTCTCATGATCGTGTTGAGACGTCGCTAATCGGTGCTTGGCAGATCAGATAGCAGGGAGTTTGTCACATTCTTAATTGGAAAGGAAAGAGAACCATTTTTCATACCCCTGGCAGAAGTTCAAAAACGACCATATCTGTCGAATGACAAGATAGGTTGCCTCACTACCATGGAAGATGGGACTTATCGGATTAATCTTCCATGCCTCGAGGAATTCCACCGAGATGACTTCGGATTCGTCGCGGACTTCCTACAGACGGGACGATTCGGCTATAGTGTTATTGACGACGAAAATCGTCGCGAAGCGCTGGCACAGTGTGCTGCTGCATGGGAGATTGGAGATCGACTAGGCATGGAGGACTTATTGGAGCACATTGCGGAGAAGTTGGAGCAGCTTCGGCCGTGGGAACTAGAGGATGCGTTCATCTTTGCAACCATCGTCTACATGACCCCTGACGCCTTGCTGGACGGACACGAACGAGTGAAGAGACTGCTTACGGACTTCCTCGCCGAAAACTTCTACGATTTGGCACGGAAACACGGTGATTCGTTCACATACCGACTACAAAAAGTCCCGGAGCTTGAACGCGATATCCACCTTAAGATGGTCGAGCTCGCGGAACAAAAGATGTCTATGGACGTAGGTTGAACGCTCAGATCGGTCTCTTGTTGTGACTATGGGGGGCCGCATGGCTTCTTGGGTGTCTTGTTTTTTTCATTCTTGCATCAATCACTCTTATTATCTCTATTTCATCTGTTCTAGCTAGTCCACTATCTGTCCCCAGCAGCACCAGCCCTATCGAATTCTCTTAGCAGTCCTTCCAAGCTTTAGAACGCTGAGCCCAAGGCTTTGAGATACAACGCTATGGTTTGGACATCTACCAAGACATTTCACTTTGTTTGATAGGTATTCAAGTTGTGTGAGTATAGCAAATTACATAGATTGTGGGACAGCAAGCATCTTTATCCGCGTATGCATACCCCATCCATGTTCCATCTGGTATGTCACAGTGTTATCAACGACCGCGCAAGCCACGCTATACCGATTTCAAGATCAAGAACTGCCCTCTTCTGAGCCTCGCTCACTAGGAAACCTTCAATCAGACGAAGGGAAGGTAAGACTCGGGATACTTGCTCACAACCTGTCGTGCAGCGTATGGACTTCTTGATCTTCTATGCCTTTCAACTTCTTGCATGTGTCTCGAAAGAACAACTAACTTCATGACTGGGAGCAGCATCACGAACAAGGCCATAGAATGCAACAGCACCATGACACTCTAGCTGAGAGGATGCTAGCGCCGGCTACGAGGCATAGGAACAAAGAAATGTTTAGCTATATGTGATTACTATTATGAAAGGCTCAATTAGGCTCATTACGAAGCATAGTATCTACCACAAGCCCTTGATCTGTGATACTCGTTGTGTAGGTGCGATGCCCTCCATACTATCTGTGCCTACATCTACTGCATCAGATCTTGAAAAGCTTCCGCTGTCTTTGAACGTAGAGAAATTCCCTGTGTTGCGATCCGCGCTGGCATCCCAGCCAAGCGCTTCCTCCTCGTTGTTGTAGTCCAGAGGCTCCCATTGCGTGTCCTCTTCCTCGTCCTGGTTCACGAACAGACTCTCCGGATCAGGTTGCGGCTTTGGTGACGACGCCTGTCGCGATCCCATTTGACGGCGAGCAGGCCGGCGAGAGGCGGGCTCGACGGGCGGTGGCATGCTCCGATTTTCATGGGTCTCTATTGTGGCTGCAGTTGCAGTGCGGGACGCAGCTCTGCTGGGAGCCTGGGGGGCCGGAGTGGGTGGCGCGGTCACGCCGTTGTAATCTCCTGAAGTCATGAGCGTGAACTCGCACAAGAGACCGTCGGAGCCGTAGCTAAACTGCAGTGGACGCGTGGGATACGAGTAGTACGCGTTAATGTTCGTCTTCAGCGTATCAGCGTGCATGACTATCGCCTTGAAGTCCTTGACGCTAATAATGATGTGCAGTCCTTCCTGCACATTGAAGTGCCGGAAATCGGACCTGTTGACCGCGACAGCGGTCGCAAGGGGATGTTTCAGGATTTCCTTTCCATTCGCTATCTTCTCCGTGTAGCTTTTGAAGACGGCGCGCCCTTCATCGCCGGCGAATATATCCAGCATTTCCGTTTTAGTACCGAAGAACTCGATATACTCTTTCATGGCCCCTGCACTCATGCTCCACCGATTTGTGGCTACCTTGCGATCGAAGAGGGCATGCATGACATCCACAGCTTCGTATGTGAGCTTATACGTCTTGATGACTCCTTGGTTACAAACCATTTTGACAATGAATCGACATTGCATCTCATCAGCGCGATCTTGCACGCTGACCTCGCACCGATCGATGGCCCCATCCCGACCTAGCGGATCATAAAGACGCCCTTTGAAGACGGAAAGAAGAACCTTGGTGTACATGCTACACGTGAATCGGCCATCTGGGCCGCCGTGGCTCGGCAC